AGGCTATGAGGGCCTCCCCCGCAAGCCCCACTGAAGACACTTCATTTATTGAGTGCTTGCCAGGGGCCAGCCCCACGTTCAGTGTCTGACAGTAGTTTTCACCTCATCAACTCTACCATCTAAAATTCTCCCCAGTTTGCAGATGCAGGAAGGTATGATAGTTTCGGATTTGGAATTTCTGCCTTTCTAAGTGCAAAAACCCTGTCTCTAAATATTGCACCAGCTCAGGTGTTGGCAAATTACAACCCCAGGATCAATGAGCTGTTTTTCTAGATCGAGTTTTAATTGGAAATAGAGCCCCATTCCTCTGTTTACATGTTGCCTCTGGGTGCTTTTCACTGTTGAGTCGTTGTGGCAGACTCTGTGGCCACAAAGCCTACAATATTTACTGTCTTGCCCTTTATAGAAGAAAGTTTGCCAGATTAAAAATGTCTGCTAGACTAGAGAGCTGAGTCAGAAGATTCAGTGTGAGTCAGAGCGCTCTACTTGCTGTGTGAGCTTAGGCAAATTGCTTGTCCTCTCTAAGCCTGCCCAGCCAACTCTCGGGGGTTGCAGTGAAATTCGTAGGTGATGGCTGCGAGACGTTTTGTAGACTATAAAGTGTTGTACTTATCACCAGTTTGGCACTGGGTGGGCCCTAAAAATCTGCTTGTGGGTGAACGAGGAATAGTCACTGTGCAGGCCTTCCTAGACCCGGCTGCTGCCTGCTCCTGGAACAGCAAGGAGATGGCATCTGGACCCGAGATGCTGAATGCATCATTGTTCTCCTCATGCAGACTTGGCAGGTTTGAGCATAAATTAAAATTCTTGTGGGGAAGTCACCTTATATGTGGTACCTCTTTATAGCCAAGTCATTACGGTAATTTGCAAAAGTCTCTGGTGTGTAACTGGAGTCCTTTGCTTCACATTTGCTGGCTGTGACCTCATTCAGGCTGCCCGGTCCTGCATTTGGTGACCCCTGAGCCTTGGGGACTTGTCCTTCTGAGCCTGGCCGCAGGGTGATCCAGACCTGACCTTCCGGGGATAGAATGTCAGGCCTTGCCTTGCACAGGGATAAATAGGAGAAATCATTATGGTTACCATCCTCATGCCTTTTCAAGTGCTTACTGTGAGCTAGGCACCATGCCAAAGGCATTGCGTCCATAATCTCACGGGTTTGTCCTCACAACCTGAGTAGCTATTAGCACCATTTTATAGATGAGAAAACAGAGACTTCAAGAGGAAAGTAAACCAAACCCTTACCTAGTCCCAGGGGTGCCAGTCAGGCTCTGCTGGGGGTTTGCTGTGTGACCAAGGCAGGTCCTTTCCTTCTCTGAGTCTCGGTTTCTTCATCTATTAATTAAATGGTTGGGCAGTCAGTCCCAGCCCTGACATTCCAGAATTTCTCACTAACTTGTAAAAATGAACATAGGACTCCCCCACCCTCCAGTTCTCCGAAGAAGCTTCACATACATGAAAGCTCTTGGCTGCAGTGGCACAGGGGGAGACATGGCCCCTTCCTGGGGCACCCGCAGGCTGCCTCAGGGCAGCAGGGCCAACGTGCCTCTCTCGTTCCTCTGCCTCTGTAGAGAAAGACTCCATCCTTGCTCCCCAGAGATGGAGAGTGAGCAGGGGTGGGTCCTCTGATGCCTCTGGGGACAGAGAGGTAAGACGCCAATAGGCGGGAGGGCAGTGGCAGGTCTTCTGGCTAACTTGGGCCTGTGGTGGGCAGTGGTGATAGTGCCCACATCTTTCTAGTGGTGGCAGCATCTCTGGGGCACATGTTATAGCCTCTGGTTTCATTTCCAGCCTTTGAGAAAGCAGGTGGCCCAAGGAAGGGTCTGGTATGGGCTTTGGGAGCAATTACCATGCAACCTGGGACAGTCCCTTTGCCGGCTCTGATGCTTACATCCTTCTAGAAGTTAGGGAAGCTGATGGATTTTTATCTAGGATGCTATGAGGACCATGCAAGACAAGGGCCTGAATGAGCTTGGAGCCCCGAGCAGTGTCAAACTGTGACTTGAGGGGCTCTGTCACTCCTCCCTCCAAGAGCTGGCTTGTTTGTTTATTGTAGGAAGACCTCTTACATTATCCAGCGGAGAAGAAGACAATGGGCCTCAACTATTTGCTGGGTAATAACTATTTTTTCCCATGGAGGTGATGGGTTTGCATCTCAGGTGTGTCCCTTGCTCTCTGTGTGACCTTGGGTAAACCACTAGACCTCTCTGAGCCTTCATGTGTTTGTCTGTAGGTGGAGTGGTCTTACCCATCTGGCAGAGCTGTCCTAGAGACTGAGAGGTTTAGGAGTCATTGTAATCGTTGTTTGTACTTTGACCTCCCCAAAGGCTCCCCAGCATGATCTTCATTGGAGTCAAAAGTGGGGATGCTTGTTTGGGGATCCCCAGTTGCTCATCAGTTGCCTGAGAGGCAGCAGGACAAGACTTTGAAGGCTTTGAAGCCTGAGAGATGTGGGTTTGAACTGTGGCCCCACCTCTTATAGACCCCTGAGCCTGGTCAGAGGCACCTAATCTCTCTAACCCTCAATTTTTCTCAACTGAAAAATGGCTAGAATGAGCCCACTGCACAGGGATGGACACTTAGAAGGATCAATGTGCCTGGTGCCTAGGAAGGGCTTGATAAATGCTGGGCTCCCAGTGCCTTTGTGGGGGCCCACCTTCCCTCACTCTACACATCCTCCTTAAGTGAAGGGGGGCGTAAGTAACCCAGAGGCCCCCAGTGGGTCTAGTGGGTTTTTGAAGGATGCTCAGAACCACCTCCCTGACCCAAAGATTCTAGGAGAAAGACCCTGGCAGAACAACCCCATGTGATGATTAAGTTCTCTTTGCTCCAAATGCTATTAATGGTCATAAAATTATCCACAGTTTTCTGAGGCCCAGGCGCAGGGTTTGCCTCAATGGGACAATAAAATCACATGCAGAAACGATTTGGAACAGGGAAAGACCGCCAAGCTGAGACGGAGCTAAACGAGCGGCAGCCTGCTCTCATTAACTCAGGCCGTTCACATTTGTTACCAGGGATTTCTTTTTAATTAAAAAACAACCAAGTTATTAAAAAATAAGCTTGTGAGGGGCTGGCCCAGCAGCAGCCAGGGCCAGGGGGAGTGAGCGTTCCTTGCAGCAGGAATGAGCCCAGGGCTCGGCCTGGGAAGGTGTGAGGGGGGCTTCTGAGCAAATCTTCGTCCGTCCCTTCTGGAGCAGGCTCGCCTGTGCCTGGGAACGCAGAGGCTCCTCCGAGCCCCTCCCCTGCCCTGGGCCAGGGCATTTGCATTCCGCTCTGCAAACTGTACTGTGCTCAGCAGGTGGATGCCTGGTGCCTATCAGAACTGTGGGCACACGGCGAGTGAGCCCTGAGTGTCGGGCCTCCTGGGCAGAAGGGCCTGCCTCTGGGTTGGGCTGGAATTAGGGTTGGTGGAGGTGGATTCCTTGAGGATGGGGTCGGATTTTTGTCTAAGAGGCCACTTTTTGTTACACAGCAATTCAGAACTGGGGTTTGGGTCTGACAGACCTGAGCCTGAGATCCAACCCAGATTCTTACTAGTGGTGTGATCTCAGGCGAGTACCCTAAGCTCCCTGAGCCTCTGCCTTGTCTCTACAGTGAGGATGATCTCCCTCAGAGGGCAGGGCGGGGGCTCTAGGGAGACAGTGGTGAAAACCACCAGCCTGCACCCAGCACCTGCACGTCCTGCTCGGCAAAGGTGCTTCTGCTGTAATTCTCCTCATCCTCGGTCTCGGCGGCTAGTCCCGACCTGGTGTCAGCTCTTTGCTCAGCTTAATGGCTCATCCTGCTCAGAGTGGACGGTACCTGGACAATGCTTGAGCCTATTAATAATGCTTTATGACATCTGTAGGACACTTCATGCTTTCCCAAGTGCTGTTTGACAGTGAGAACAAGTTCCATTCTTGGAGCACACCTACGAGTTGCCAGCACTGTGCTGGGGGCTTTGCACCTCAGCTCTCAAAACCTCACGGCATCGGTGGAGACCTGACACGGCTGTCCCCATTGTACACCTGGGAGCAGAGGGTCAGCCTCGGGGAGGGATTTGTTCAAGGCACAGACTTGCTTGGGGGCAGTCCGGGCTCACATCGAGGTCCATCAGGCCCCAAAGCCCATGTCTTCACTCCTTGAGGTTATTGCTGCCAGGTGCCAGGACAGAAAGCCTAAGAAGACCGTGTCCATATTAACCCACCTCACGCTGTAGAAGAGAACACTGAAGCCCAGAGAGGGGAAGTAGCTTATTACAACTATGCCTAACAGTTTTGGTACACTTTATACAGATTTTCTCAGGGTTTTCATTCCCATCTTCTCCCCCAGTTAGTCTTCCTAAAAACCCCGTCACTGGGCAAGGCAGGGCATACGATAGGCTGTCAAAGAACCGTGGTGAATACGGAGCTGTGAATAACTGTGTACTGTGTCTCTGTGGTGTATTGCAATCTGGGAAATAATGCAGATTGAGCTTTGGTAACAAGAGCAGATGGTGTCTAGTGAGAGCCTACTCTGTGACCTACGACGTCCATGCCGCTCACCAGCCTACTGAGCAGTGCAGCCCCAGCACGTGTCTGTGAGCCTTGTCAAACGAGTATTTGGTGACCAACCTGAGGGTCAGTGTGTGAGGCAGGAGCTTGTCTGCCTGGTTTCGCCAGTGTTTCCTGCCCCGACCAGAGTGTTGGTATGTCGTAAGGGTTCAGTGTTTGTGTAACAGTCATTCAGCCACGGGAGCTCAGCATCCGCATCTGAGTATTGGGGATTTTGCTCCAGATCCCGCTGGTGATTGTGGAAATTAAATAATGGATCTTGGTGCCTTGAATGCAGCAGAGGTTCAGTGAGTGTGGGCTCAAGGCTGCTGTGCCCTAATGACTGCCCTCTCCCTGCCCCCTCTGCAGGCTGTCCCCACTCATGTTCTTTCCTCTTCCTGTCTTTCTTTGCATAGTGAACGGGAGCTACGGCCACTGCACCCCAGGCTCAGAGAAGAGCCTGCTGGACCTGGACCTTGCGGAGGGCCCCGGCCCCACCTGCCGCCAGGGCCTTTTTCTCCCTGCGGGCACCCCACCACCCCGGGGCCAGCCCCCAGCCTGCGAGAGGCTCCTGCATTTCCCCCACCCTAGCAGGTATGTGCTCCATCCTCACCCATCAGCTGCCTTCTGTGGATACTTCCTGAAGGCCAACACCAAGGGCCTCCAGACCTCATCTAGTCTGCCTCATTATGGGATACACAGGGAACCTGAGGCATGCGAGGGCCAGGGACCAGCCAGAGGCCAGTAGCACAATGACGGCTGCCTGGTCTAGGCCTTGAACCCCCCCACATTGCAGTACCTCATGAGAGACAGAGATGGTTTTATTGAGGTATGTTTCCCCGTTGCACAAGCTGAGGTGGCTTTTCACAGAGAATCAGTAATTTCAGAAGAGGAAGATTCAGGGGTGGGATGGGGAAGGAAACCCAGCTGAGGGAGCATACACATTGTAGTATCAAAGCCTGGACTGTTCAGAGCGTGGAGAGAGGGGTTCCTCCACCTGGGGCCGTCTCCTGTGCTAGGAAGCCATACCTCCCAGAGCCCTGCTGGGTGACCCTCATTCAATGCCTGCACGTTTCCGGTGATGCCCACTTGTGGACAGAGGTTCTATCGCATTGTCTATCAGGCTGGAATCTGCCTCCTGTGGCTCTCCCGGGGTCCCAGCTGTGCCTCTGTGCCCTTTGGTCTGCTGACAGGCAGACATCAACCACAGACAGACCTCTGTGCCCCCGGCTCAGCCCCTGCACCTTACTGCTTGGCACAGGAAGCGGGGCTCTCCCCAGTGGAGCTTACTTTCCAGTGAGAGCTTCAGGTGAGAGAGATGAGTACATAGCAGGATGCTGATTCTTCCCACACAGAGCCAATTGCCTTTGAGAATGTAGAATCCCTGTGACCTTCAGTGATATTAGGGAGCCTTCTGACTTACAGGAGTCTTAGTGTGGGTGAGCTGCCTTGACAAAACACCACAGCCCAGGTTGCTGAAACAAGAGAAATGTATTTTCGCACAGTTCTGGAGGCTGGAAGTCCAAGATCATGGTGTCCCCAGATTTGGTCTCTCCTCAGGCCTCTCTCCTTGGCTTACACGTGGCCGCCTTCCTGTGGTGGCCTTTCCACTGTTTGCACACTCTTCATCTTATAAGGACACCAGTCATACTGGATTAGGGCCTCACCCTTACAACCTCATTTAACCTTCATTACCTCCTGAAAGGCCCTATCTCCAAAGACCATCACATGGGGGGTTAAGATTTCAACACACACATTTTGGAGGGACACAATTTAGTACATAACAAGGAGCGAGCCTCTTTTAGTTTCGAGCTGTACGTTCAGTGACAGTCCAGTGCATTTATCTGCTTGATTATTCACTGAGGCTCCGCCAGCAGCATCTGGTTCCTCCACAGAAATTCTTTCTATCTCAGAGCAGAAGCTATGCTAACCTAGGGAAAGCTAAAGCAAGTGGGTTTTTATTTATTTATTTTTTAATTTAAATTCAGTTTAGTTAACACATAATGTATTATTAGTTTCAGAGGTAGAATTTAGTGATTCATCAGTTGCATACAACACCCAGTGTTCATACTTCAAGTTCCCTCCTTAATGCCCATCCCCCAGTTACCCCATTCCCCACCCCCCCTTCCCTCCATCAATCCTCAGTTTGTTTCCTGGAGTTAAGAGTCTCATGGTTTGCCTCCCTATTTTCATCTTATTTTATTTTCCCTTCCCCTACATTCATCTGTTTTGTTTCTTAAATTCCACATATGAGTGAAATCCTATACTTGTTTTTCTCTGATTGACTTGTTTCGCTTAGCATAATACCCTCTCGTTCCATCCATGTCCTTGCAACTGGCAAGATTTCATTCCTTTTTATGGCTGCATAATATTCCATTGTGTATATATACCACATCTTCTTTATCCATTCATCTGTTGATGGACATCTGGGCTCTTTGCATATTTTGGTTGTTGTGGACGTTGCTGCTATAAACATTGGGGTGCACATGCCCCTTCGGATCACTATGTTTTTATCCTTTGGGTAAATACCTAGTAGTGCAATTCCTGGGTCATAGGGTAGTTCTCTTTTTTTTTAATACAGATGATCAGAAATATGTGTCACTTTGAGTGTCATTTTAAGAATTCAGAGCCTAAGAGAGCCTATACCTAGAACCCATACCTAGAATCCCACGCCAGCACCATCCTGAGCTACTGCCATTTCTGCTGCTGATCTGGCACTGTCACACTCCCTCATTTTCCTAAAGCAAAAGAGGGCTCCAGCCCCTGTGCCCCACCCGGTCAGACCCTGTCCCTCCTCCTTCCCACTGGATTGCCTTGTGTTGGGGACTCATCTCCTTGCTGCCCCCCCTCCTATCCTCTAGCCCCCAGATCCACTGCCCGGGTTCCTGGGGGCCTCCTTGCCTCCAGCCCAGCTTTCTAATGCTAATAAAAATCGCTCCCACTTTGCAAGGACCTGCTGCTTGTGCACATCTCTCATTTAATCGTCACCGCCAGTAAGCGACAATCCTGGAGTGCTTGCTACGTGCCACACAGGAGGCCAAGCACTTACCATGTTAGTACCTCACTCAACTCCCATCTGCCAGAGGGTGGGGAAACTGAGGCAGAGAGGCCACAAAACTAGCCCGAGGTCACCCAGCAAGTGGTGAGAGTTTCAAGTAACTTCAGCAATACCCTGATTTTGTCATTTCTGTGCTGAAAATGACTACCCACCAGCACTGTTGTCAGTAGAATGTATTTTTTACATGCAGTTTGAGGCCTAGCTCCATCACTGACTTTCTGGGTGACCTTGGGCAAGATGCTGGCCCTTTCTGGGCCTCGTCTTCTGACGTGTAAGATGAGGATAGGAACAGAGTGCACAGGCCACCAGTAGTATGGGAAGGCGCCCTGTGATCTGGCCCCTGCCTCCCCACCCGTCATGCTGGCCTTCTGGCCTCGGGCCCAGTGGGCCACACACTTTCACATCTTCATGCCTCAGCCTTCAGAGCCCACACCGCCCACCACCTTGGTCTCTTAGGTTTGCCAGAACTCTGCCCACCCCTCAGCAGAGTTTAAGTGTTCCATGAGAGCCGGTCCTCCGTCTCCCACCATGAGAAGGGAAGCCTCTCAAGGGCAGGGACCTGGTTTGTGAACCGTCTCATGTCCCTAGCATCACCCAGCACAGAGGGAAAAGCCTGCAGAGGGACCTCTCTGGCCCTTCGCCCAGGCTCGAGCCCCTGAACCAGTGGGTGCACAGACCCCGCGAGATCCGAAGTCACCCTCCTGTCCCTTGAGCCTCTGTTGGAGGAACGCTAGTTTTCCCAAGTTCAGCAGCTCCCTTCGGGGTCCAGGATGACAGACAGAAGAACATTGGAGTCCTTGATACTCGGAATGTTGAGGCTGCCAGGAAACATAATGGTCATCAAGTTCCATCATTTTGCAGAGGAGGAAGCTGGGCCCCTGGCAGGACAGTGCTGTGGGAAAATCACAGGCTGTTGGTTCAGACAGATCGGGGTTCCAATTCCTGCTCTAATGCTGCCTGCCTCTGAGGGCTTGGGCAAGCTGCTTCAGTTTTCCTAAGCATGCACCAGATGGTGGGCTCTCCCCCTGAAGAATCTGATTATGCATTCAGCAGATAGCACACACCGTTCTGTTGCGGTGGGGTTGCGTGGGACGGCCCTCGGGAAAGCGCCCGGCCCGCAGGGCTGCTTGGCACTTGTTTGCTCTGTCCAGGGACCCCTGCTCACAGTTTCCAGACGTGTGACGTGTGACGGGAGTCGCCTGGGGAGCCCAGGGCTCAGGCGCGGGGCAGGACGGGAGCCGCCGCAGGCCTGCCGGGGACAGAGGGACCGAGAAGGCGAGCAGGAGGCTGCCTCAGCTGGCATTTGGGGCCAGGAGACACCACAGCCTGAGTTGCCCTCTCCCCACCTGCTGCCATGGGAGGTTCTGTTGTCGTATTCGGATCATTCAGTCACAGGCGCTATGGCTGTTCTCTGCTGCTGGTTCTTCAGCCTGATGCTGTTTTTTGAGGGGATTGGTTCCAAACAGATGCTTACCTGGCGTCCCACCTCTGCCAGGCCCAGGATGACGACCATGCAAGGACGGCTATGCTTTTATTTATTTATTTTTTAAGCTTCACCAAGCCACAACTTTCCTATCAGATCTTTAAGCTCCTCAGGGCTTTTCTGCCGGCAGCGGTGGCCCAGTGTCCCCAGGCCCGGGGAAGGGGAATGTGCATTTGCTGTCCACCTTGGAGTCCGTGCTCCTTCTGATTCCACTCAGTGGCTGCGCTCTGGACAGGGAAGAGAGGTCTTTGCTGGGTGAGGCAGAGAATTGGTCAAGTGTGACTGGGAAACAGAAGGGCCCTTTTCACAAGCCTTTATCTGGGGAGCACTTCAGGTTTATCCCGGAGAAATGCACACTTCCAGGAGAAGGGGAGCCTGGCTCCCGGCCCAAGCCCTGTCACTGGCTTGCTGCTCGGGACTGTGGGCAAGCCCTGTGCCCTCTTGGCTCCTTTCCTGTCTGTGCAGTCATGGGGTTGGAGCCCATGCTCTCTGAGCACCTCCGGGCTCTGCCTTTCTCCCCTGTGCCCTCCCCTCCCCTCCCTTCCTCCTCCCGAGTAGTCCTGGGGCTGCCACAGCTGCAGGGAGCCAGAGAGGGAGGCTGGGCTGCAGGGCCACGTGGAAAGCCGGGACAGGTGATGATCCCACAGCCCCTCTGCAGAGAGCTACGGAACACTGGCAGTGACCTGGCAGTAATAAACGCACCATTCACCCTGCCATTGTCTCTCCAGAGGGCTGTCACGGCATCTGCTGTCCCTCTTGATCCTGGCAGCCACTCTCTGAGGCAGTGAGGGCTAGTCCTCGTTTTACAAGTGAGGAAACTGAGGCTCAGACAGGCCCAGGGACACAAGGGGTGTCCTGGTCAGGCTTTGAGCACATAAGCAGGCTTCCTGTTGTGCCCAGCCAGCCAAGGTGCTTCTTTGACCCTCCGTCCAGCGTCACCTGGCTGGTGGCTGGGGATCCTGGGGCCTCTGCCTGCACTTACGTGTCCTGCATTTGGGGAGGGCCTTCCCTCCCTCCCTCCCTCCCTCCCTCCCTCCCTCAGAACACTTATACCACATGCGTGCTGAAGACACATCACACCATCATCACTCTTGGGAGGAGAATCGTTCCAGTATCGGGATGAGGAGAGAGGCCCAGAGTGCCTTGCCCAGCTTTGTGCAGCGGGGAGTGTCTGAGCCTGGCCTCAAACCCCGGTCTCCTGCCTCCCCTGTGTGGCCCTCCCAGCCTGCCTGCCCACAGCCTCCCCTAGAGTTGTGTTTCATGCAGTCACAATGTCTGGGCTTGAAATCCCGGGACCACCCCACCAGGCTTTTCTTCAGTCATTCTTAGGATGCCGCTCGTCACCATGACTTGTGTTTCAGACCCCCAACCCACTGACATTCACTGTGGAAAAGACCGATGGCTTGGGGCAAAATGCCACAGAATTAACATTTCTAGAAATTAAAAAAGATTCCAAAAATTAAGAAAGCTCTAAGGGACAAGTAGGCCGAATTTAAAACTGGACCTGCGTGTCCCTCCAAATGCCAGTCTTAGACTCCTTCCTCCAGAACTCACTAGAAGGTCATGGGGAGGTCAGGGCAGACCCTAGGGAGGCCTCAGCGACAGGGCAGGATGGCAGCCGGGGCTGGAGAGGGCAGGCTGGATTTGGTAAAAGGATGACACGGGGCTCTTTCCGGGCACCCTCTTCAGACCTCCTGCCTTTCTGGAACCTCTCCCCAGCCCCGTGCTCCTTCTCTCCCTCTCCTGTTTGCCCCCATACCCTTCCCTGCTGACCAAACCCCCAGCCTCTGGCTTCTCTCTCCCTCTGCTTCCAGCCCTCCACCTCCGCCCCTGCTTTGGGCTTCCCATCCCTTGGTCCCAGGTTCCTTGCTGGCCCCCGCCGGGGCCTCCCCTCTGTGGAGTACCCCCCGACCTCATGGCCTCTCTGCTCCCTGTCTTCCAGGTCGCCCAGGCCTCAGGCCACGTATGTGAATGGTGGCCTTCCGGCCACGCAGCACATCAAGCAGGAGTCCCTGCCTGACTACCAGGCCATGAGAGAAGCTCGCACACCCTTGTCCGCTCACTGCCGGGCCCCACCAGCCACTGGCCTGCACACAGACCTGGACCTGCCGGGCCGAGGCCTCGCTAACCCTGCACCTTCCTGCTACCTTCTGGGCAGTGAACCCAGCTCTGGCCTGGGCCCCCCGCCTGAGGCCCACCTCCCTGAGGGCAGCCTAAAGCGCTGCTGCCTCCTGGGCCTGCCCCCCACCTCCTCGGCCACCTCCTCGTCCTGCACCTCCTCCGATGTCACCTCCATCATCCGCTCTTCCCAGACAGCTCTGGTCACCTGCGTCAATGGACTCCGGAGCCCCCCACTGCCAGGAGAGCTGGGGGTGCCTCCCAAGCGGGCCCGGCCTGGCCCTGCGACCACAGAGAGCCACGAGGGCGGTTTGCAGCTGGAAGCCTGCCGGAAGGGGGGCTTCCTAAAGCAGGAGCCTGCGGACGAGTTCTCAGATCTCTTTGGGCCGCCTCCCCAGCAAGGCCTGCCTCCCCCTTACCCCGCGTCTCAGTTGCCACCGGGCTTGGGCCTTGGAGGCCTGGGGCTGGGCCTGGGCAGGGGGGCGGCGGGCCGGCAGGCCTGCCGGTGGGTGGACTGCTGTGCGGCCTACGAGCAGCAGGAGGAGCTGGTGCGGCACATCGAGAAGAGCCACATTGACCAGCGCAAGGGCGAGGACTTCACCTGCTTCTGGGCAGGCTGCGTGCGCCGCTACAAGCCCTTCAACGCCCGCTACAAGCTGCTCATCCACATGAGGGTGCACTCGGGTGAGAAGCCCAACAAGTGCATGGTGAGTTCCCATGGCCGCCAGGCAGAGCAGAGCAGCCCCCACCTCAGCGCTAGGGATGGCTTCCCCGGGGGGCTCCTGAGCTGGGGGCTGGCGGGGGTCCCCTGCGGTCGAGGACGGAAGGACCGATGCGCTGGATGTGGCCCCTGGTCAGGACAGTCCGTGCCCCTGCAACGGGGAGTGTTGGCTCCTCTGCTCACCAGGTGTCCCATCCCCCATCCCGAGGCGTACCACCTGATCAAACACACTTGTTCGGGTGGTGACAGTACACGCTCTGAGGTCAGAGCAGGCCCGGGCAGATGCTCACCGTCTCACCCACCGGGGGTCAGGTGCGTCGTGGACACCTGCTTTCCTCCAGCATGGGGCCTTCCTCAGGCAGCCTTCCCAGCGAGGCTCTCTGGGCCTCCAAGGAGGGCTGTGTCCTCACAGGCATCCAGCCTGGGAGCTGTGGCTCCCTTGGGCAGGTTTTGGGGTAAGGCCAGGGTTAACCTATAAGGATCCAGCAGTGACAAGGCTGGGGTTGAGCCTCAGTTTCCCAGGAACACACACACACACACACACACACACGCACACACACACGAACTGTGGGCACCTAGGCTCCAGCCCTTCTGACTTGTCATTTCTGCGTTGTGCTTTCGCGGTGGTGGAAATCCATATCAGAGTCTTTGTCCCTGGTATCCTCAGGCAAGGGGAGCACCTACCCCCAAGGCCCAGCTACCCTGCCAGGAGAGGCACCTGCCCGGGAATGGAAGGGTTGGAGGAGCCGCCCAGTCTTCCAAGGCCCGGCTCTGCCTTCTCAGCCACTGGGGCATTGGTGAGGCAGGGGAAGAAGTAGTGTGTCTGGTCCGCAAGACCGTGTCCTAGCCAACGTCGAGTTCTCCAGCATTTGCCTGCTGTCCCCAATGCTGGACCCTGCCTCGTGAAGTGTTCGGTCTGGGAGGGAGTGCACTTCTCTTCCTGCTCAAGGCCCAGGGCAGCATTTGTAGGGCCCAGAGGGGAGGCAGAAAGCTTTGGCAACTGGTAGCATAAACTCCCCCTTCCTGGAACCAGGTGGTCACCCTTGGGGCCCTATCTGCTTGTGGAGCTGTGGTCTGGGCATGCAACTGGACCAGCTTATTCAGCTCAAGGGGGCTGGGTCTTGAGGAGGAGGAGGAGGTCACTTTATAGACAAGTGAGGGGTTGTGAACAGCCTCTGCAAAAGGAGAGGAACAGGAGGGAGCCCGTGGTTGGTGCGTTGGTGTTGTGGGGAGAGGCTGACCTGGGCAGGCTGGAGAATTTGACTTCATCATGTGTCTTGGGGTTGAGGGCATGGTGGAAGTAGCTCGTGGCTGGGCCAGTCCTGGGGATGCCTCTGTTTTGTCTGGGGTGTTGTGACACATGGCTTGCTGAAAGGCATGTCCCTGCCTGGAAGGAGATGACCGCAGACTTCCAGAAGACAGAGGGCCCCTTCTCTGAAACCCTGGAGCTGATAGCTGCTAAGCAGCAGTCCTTCACATCTCCTCTCCTGTGGGGGATCCTCCTGGTGTCGGCAAGGGGCTGGTGTGGAGGCCCAAGCCCTGGCACAGTGTGGTCAGTGGCCTTCGCCCACCAGGGCCTCCTGTGTGGAATTATAGCATGTGGGAGTGCCCATGTGGACTGCAGGGACTTTGGAGATAATCTAGCCTTCCCTGCCTGTTTTCTGGGAAACAGAGGCCTAGTGAGCAGGTCAGAGAGGCCCAGTTTACCCAGTGCAATGTGGGAATCTCTCTCTATGGTTCTTTCTCCTGGGCCTGCCAGGATCTCACTTGATTCAGCAAACTCAACAGAACACTGGCTTACACCTGGCTTGTGCCTGGCTCTGGGGACCCAGACCTGGACTTTCCAAGGTCTTCGCCTGCAGTCACCCATGGTCAGCAAGGGGTGGGAGACGGGTGTGGACAGGGTCTGCATGGAGTTTGTATAGGCCCAGGGACGGGAGGCCCAGAAGGGCTTCATGGAGGAGGTGATGTTCAAGCCATGTCTGTACGCACCCACGGTTGCATTTAATCTTTATAAAAGTCCTGTAAAACCAAGGGTTTACAGATGAAGCAACAAGGCTTCAGTGGAGTCCAGCCGATCTTCTACGTACTACTATGAGAATACCTTATCTTGCCTCTTGAGGGGTCGGTTTAGGCTTATGGTGATAATACTAGCAAGCAGCTTCTCAGTGTTGACTACATGCAGGAGCCATTCTTTTGGCAGGGGGAGGAGCAGAGGCAAAGGGAGAGAGAGAATCTTAAGCAGGTTCTATGCTCAGCATGGAGCCATACGTGGGGCTTGATCTCCCCACCCTCAGATCATGACCTGAGCCAAAATCAAGAGTTGGACCCTTAACCCGCTGAGCCTCCCAGGCGCCCCAGGAGCCATTCTAAGTGATAACTCCTTGCAGTCCTCGCAACAACTCTACGGGGTAGATACTATTAACCCCCATTTTACAGATGAGGAGACTGGGGCTCACACTGCATAATTTGCCCCAGTTCACACAGGTAGTTAGGGGCAAACAATAACCAACAACAGTAATAGAGGCTAATCATCGTCACAGTAACGATAGTAACAACAATAGCAGTAACTTGCCCATGGTTGCACAGCAGTAACCATTAGAGTGAAATCTGAACCCACATCTTCCTAAACTGTGATGCTTTTGTTTGTGTAGATGGTCCTATTACACTCATTGTTCTCTGGGGTCCTGGGCCCAGCCCTGCTGGGTGCCATCATCCAGAGTTGGGGCAGAGACCTCCTCTGAGCTCCTCCCTGCCCGCCATGGGAGCGCGCCCCCTTCCTGCATCGCTGGCGCAGTAGGTGACCCAGGGGAAGGGGCAGGCCCCAGCCTGCACCCAAATAAATAAAATCTCCCTTCCCTGTAAAATTATTAATTTCTCATGACAGGCCTCTGCTACCATGTGCTGTAATAGACAAAGGAATTTTGGATCCGGATCCTCTGGAGAACAGGAAATAGATGAGACACTTTGATTGAAGAGTAAATGGCCCACTAAAATAGCAGTTAATCCTTTTATTATCTTTCCAGCAGCCGTGTGCACAGTTCTTTCATGAGGTAAGCCTTCCCCGCCCCGTCCAACTGTAACACTCCGGGCCCGGCAGCTGGTTTACATTTAGCCTGCGGAGCCTCCGCTCACGCACCAGGCGGGCTGGGAGGCACGGCGAGGAGCCGGCTGCCCCCTGCCCAGGTTCTCCGCGCTCAGGGCAGCCCGGGATGGGATCGGGCCTCGGCTCACAGGGCCCCCGGGCTAGACCGCGCCGTCCGGCCCCCGCTCTGCCCTCGCCGCGGCCCGTCCACGCCGTCCAGAGGAAGCTCCCTAATCTCTCTGCAATATCCTGTTATGTTTCTTATGTTGTCCGAGTTGTCTTAGCCTTATTAAATGTGGGGTTTCATCTGCATTAGGGTAGCGAGGATGCGTCCAAGCCAAATACTGCCGCGACGCCTCCAAGACGTTAACTTTGAAAAGATTAATTTCTTGCTTTCTTAGGTTGGCTCTCCCAGACAGTTGGAATTCTGATTGTCTGAGACTGCAGAAATTAGCAGGCTGTGTAGTTTGCTTTTCTGTACATCAAGAAAAAGGCAGGGCGAAAAAGGAAAACCTTTCATAACCTTGGGTTTTAGAAAACAACAGTAATGATAGCAACAATCCCTGCCTTTGTGAAGAGCTTTCCCAGAGCTGTGAGTGCAGTATGGAAGGTGTGTGTAGACAGTGAAAAGCCCAGGCCTGGAGTCACTCCAACCCGGGTCCCCACCAGGGCCTGCCACGTAGCAGCTGTGTGACCTCAGGCAGGTGACCTAGCCTTTCTGACCTGTAGCACACTCGGTTGTAAAATGGGACTATAATAGTACTCGCCTTTTAAGGATTGTTGTCATTAGGGTTTGAAGAGATGACTTAGGGTGGTGCATCCCCCATCATGCTCCGTCATATCAACCAGTGGCTGAGGTGGGCAGGGCTGTCACCCATGCCGGTGACCTTGTCCGGTGTCTGCCAGCAATGGGGAGCACCTGCTCCGTGGCAGACAGTGTCTGCTCAGGGTGACTGGAGCTAGAAGGGGGAACTGGGACAGAGGCATAGGGAGGAGGCTCTGGTCCCTGCCCTCACAGGCCTGGGAGCCTCGAGGCCGGTCTTATATCCTGCCTGGGTTCCTCTGGTAGCTGCGTTTGCACTGATCACTGATCCCCATCCCTTATGCCCCTCTCCCCTGTTTGCCACTCTGTCCCCAGTGCCATTGGACCTGGGACCAGGGAAATACATCCCACTGAAAGCTGAGCATACATCCCACTGAAAGCGTGATCAGCCAAGGAACTCAGAACACCAGCCACCTGGCTGGGCCTTCCCAGCTCCCAGAGGGCCAGCCCGGGCCAAATCTACTCTCATTTCCTCTAATCCTGGGTCTTCTGGCTCCCTCTTTACCTCGGTCCCCCAACCCCTGAGAAATAAACAGCACTGGGTGCTGGGAAAGGTGGGAGAGGCAGAAGGAATTGCTCTTTGTTGAGACTCAGGGAGTCTAATACCCTGGCCCAGTGCTAGCCATGTCCCAGTCCATGGTCAAAACTCTGAGGCCCAGAGAGGCTAAATCAGATCCCAAGGTCACGCAGTCTGCCAAGTGGCAGGGCACAGCTACCCGTCAGATTTGCCCACCTGTTCTGCCAGGCTGTGAGTTGGAAGTCAGAGGAAAGCTTGACTGGGCAGGGGTGGAGGGTGTCTGAGATCCTATCTTATGGCAAGTCCTCAGGGAGAAGAGAACAAATATATTCTGAGGTATGTGATGTACAACCATGAGTCATCATTCCCATATTTCAGAAGAAGCTGATGTTCACAGATGAAATGGTTTATTCTGGGTCGCCTGGCTCAGCTGCCTGGACCATTCCACAGGCCACACGGCCTTCCACCCACCTGCCTTTGCTCAGCCTCTTCCTTAGCAGAGTCGAGTCCTTGGTGCTTCTCAAACCACAGTGGGGTGGGGCAGGGGGGGCCTGGGCATCT